TTATTTACTCTTTTTCTCGTTACACTTGAAATCAGCAGATTTGGAGTTATCAATCTATTCAAATTTCAAATTCAATTAACCCATATCGTAACTACTACCAATTGGATTCGATCGAGTCTCTCTCACACAGTCCCATGGGACAAAAACAGCAACAAGATCACATCTGCCTACTGTTTGGGCAGCTTCGTGATCCAACACTGTTGATATCTTCAGCTGCTTCCACACCTGAAATTCCCGAGGATGTTTCCTCGGGGAAAACACTCCGACGCTCAAGTTAGCAATACTCAATATTCCATAGAGAGATGCTCTCAAAGAGTAATTGCAAAAAGAGAAACGTAGAAGTTAATATCTTGCATGGAGGTAGTTGGGGGTATTTATAGCCCCATATACTAACATGAGCTCAGACATGTGTTCATCCAATTGATCCACGTGTTACTGCCCACGTGGGTGTGTCTCCTCATCTTGGGCTCGTGGGTGTATAACTGGGCCTGTTGCATGTGGCTCGCAGCGGGTGTTGGGCCTAATCCCAACATTACTCCCCCCTCAGTGTTCGGTTGACGAACTGGGTTGAGAGTCCCATTAACACAATGTTTGACCCTGGGGATGAGGAGTGATGTGTTATGGTTTACGACTGACCTCACGTATGGCCAATCTGGGTGACCTGAGGCCAGCGCGGCCTGGTCTGATGCATGTGTATATGCTGGCTTCCTACCAAGCATGCATGGGGAAGTTGGTGTCAAAACCAGTGTGAGCTCGAAACTAATCGACGAGCTAAGCGGGCGCGCAAAGGCGATCTCGCATAATGGATTTCCTATAGCAAACCGAAGACGAGCATACCGTGGACGAGCTGGGCCATTCCAACCTGTGAAGATTGTACCTATTGAGGTCGGCCTGATATTAAGAGAACAAACCAAAACCACACTGATGAAGTGTGAATATCAAGATGAACTGAAATGAGCGACCTCATCGTCACTACAAATGTGTATCTCCAGGATACGGAGCAAATCTAAGTGAATTGGTAATGATCTAACGTTTGATATTCAGAACTGAGGTGAATCTCTGATTTGTTACGAGTCGATCCCTGATATTTTTCAAATTTTAAATTGTGGCAAATCTCTGAAGAGATCTCGGATTCATTATAAGCTGATCCTTGAGATTTTTCAAATCTTAAATTGGGGCGAATCTCTGAGGAGATTTGCTCAGGGCGTTTGGTATTCTTCTGCTAATGGCAGATATCCTTCTGCCTTCCCGCAATAAATGCTGGCTTAGCATTTGAGGGGACGTGACAGCTGTAGGTGGTGAGTTTTGGGCGTTTAACCATAAATGACTGCCACATGGACGCGTTTAACTGAGGGGCCATAAACACACGTACAGCGTTCCAGGAGCACTATCTGAAAGACAAGAAACAAAAGCAGTTACTCAGCCATTCCCTGTTCCATTACATAGTACGTTAGTATTTTCTTCAGATAAGGTTGCAGAGACGCTCCAAGCTATTCCTCAGAATTTTCAATGAAAGGACAACCGGTTTTAGATACTCAGGTAAAAATGGCTTCTTTTCATGATGTAAGAGAGCTTCGGGGTAACCAGGGTGGGGAAGACGAAGTGGATGTGATATCAATGGAGCCCATCACCATGATAGTGCCGTCGGAGTTGCAGGATTTGCCCAGAACCATCACGCTGAAGAGTAGCGCTAGTTCGAGCGCAGGTGGTGGTTCTGGTGACCGCCGTTCTTCGACTTCTTCTAGCGATTCGTCCGCGGAAGAGACACCTAGTGAAGCGGGGGGTGTTGAAGAGGGTGGTTGTAGTGTGCCGGCGATAAGTACGGAGGTGGAGGTGGAGGCGGTTGTGTTTGAAGGGTGGGAGGACAAGGTGATCAATGGGAGACTGGACAACCTTCGCAAGGTGCCCAAAACCCTACTTGCTGGCTTTAGGTTCAGGGCGGCACTGCACCACAAAGTTGTAGACGGTGTAGCCACGGTGAAAGGGTTTAAAAAATTGGAGGAGATGGTGAGACAATACCAGATCCCCAAAACTATCCTGATCCGAGTTGGGACACCAAATGCACGGGTGTGCACAGTATCGAGGACGGGCTGGGTGTTAGTATATGCAGACCATTTTGACGCCAGTTTGCGTTTTCCTCTACTCGGACTAATTTTTGATGTCCTGGTAAAGTATAAGCTCGCCCTAACGCAGCTAACTCCTAACAACATAAAGTTTATTATAGGCTTTATGCTGTTATGTGAGAGGTTGGGAGTGCCTGCGAAGGCGGCAGTCTTCAGGTTGCTTTTCCTGTGCCGTTTACGCCCCTCCACCAATGGGACGAGATGGTACTACATCTCGGGGAGAGAAAAGATGATAATATTCACTAACATTAGAAATAAGGTGGCGAGGTGGAAGAAACAGTTTATCTTCGTTCGCGATACATGAACCAAAAGGATCAAAAACGAGCTCGCCGCTCGTTTATTAGAGTTGCGTACACCAAACGCCTACATGAACTACCTTCAACTGACTGTTAGTGATGTTGACCTGAAGAACTAGCTACTAGATCACATTAAGGCAAGGGGTTTAGTGGATTTAGAAGCCTTAGTTACCCCAGAGCAGCTCGCGTTACTTGGGTTTGTCGACGTGGCAAACCTACATGCTGAAGGTATATTTTTATAGCATACTAGAATTTCTAGCCGATCTGAGTCTTATGCCTTTGTTTGTGTAGGAGAAATGAGCAGTATTCTGGAGAGGCAGCGTCAACGAGCACAAGGCTTGAGGAACCATGGAGCTGGGTCCGGTTCCCAACGTCAAACTCGCTTTGACAAGTGGCCACCTGCTGCACTGGGGCGTAGTTCGTCCCACAGAAGTTCGAGCTCGACACCAAGACAGCGTGCCAAGCAAAGAGTTGAAACTATGCCCTTCGGTTCATGAAGGCGTGCGCGGGAGGACTCTGACGCTGAGGATGACATTCCCCTCATCCAGTGAAGGATGAGCATGGGATCTCAGCCCGCTTCAACCGTTGCTGTGTGGCCTGCCAACGTGCCCTTAGCGTTGGCACGTGAGGTTGTTGAACCAACGCCTGCCTCGTCATCTGTATCAGGGCTAAGAATTGCATACCCGGAAGGCTTCAATTACATCAAAACTGACTGCCAAGCCGCCATGATGCAAGGTATGCAGAGCTTTGTGCCCCCTGTAGATCAGCAACGTACAAAGGGCTACGTCCAGCAGCATGGAAGTCATGTTGCTTTGCTGAAGTTGATGGATGTAAGTATATTTAATGAGCACATTATTTGTACTCTACAATTTTGTGTTATAAACTAACGATTGAATTTGTGGCAGGCATTCAGCTACACAGTAGCACTCTTTGAGTGCGAGTGTAATACCCCGAAATTTCTAGAATATTAAAGTTGAGTTGGGGACTTATTTGAGAAAAAATATTATTGAGGGGCTTAATAGCAAAATTTTCAAAAGTTGAGGGACTAAAAAGAAAGGAAATTAGGATAAGGATGGTTGAGTTTTTTTCTTTCTTTCTTTCTTCTTCCTTATCCGCGCGTCCTGCTCTTCTTCTTTTCCCCTGCAGCCGACGAAGCTCCCCAAAGCCACTGACTTCCTTTTCCTTTGAAAATCGGTAAAAGGGCTTGAATTTTCTCCTTCTTTCTTGTTCAATCATGAGATTTGGGGCTTAGAATTCTCTCTCTCAACCAAGAAAATCCCAGTTCTGCTCTGCTTTTCCTCCCCTGTCCATCGGCTTTGCTAGGTATGAATTTCTTGGCTTTTTTTCGGGTAAGCCACAGCCATGAACTTCATCTTTTCAACTTGATTTAGGCTAGGTTTACTTTAATTGCTTTTGTTTCCTTCCAATTGCTGGTAGCCCGTGAGCCCCCTTGCAGATGCCATCGGCTTCCTTCCCAGCCGGAACCGGCCTTTCCTTGCTAGAAATTTTGGTAAGTTGCTGACTCTTCCAAGTTTGAATTACCCACTTAATTGTTGCTTGTTGAGTTTTAATTGGTTGAATTGATACCCGTGGTTGTCCGAAAATTCTGTGGAAATAGGAAGAAATTCGGCAGCCATTAAGTATATAATTTTAGCTTAAATTCATGTAGAAATGGCTTGATAGGATGTTGTGATGTTGTGTAGGAATAATCTCATGTGTGTGAGTTGTGGTTTGCCAAAGCCATGCTCTCCTGCCCGTGAGAAATGGGGAAATTTTGGTAGCTTAAGTTATGTTTTTAAGCTTGGCTTAAGTGTAAATTAGCTTGAATTGGGTTGTTGTGATTTTGGAGAAAAATCCCGTGATATTAGTTATTGTTTTGCCAATTTTGGAAGTTGAAGTTACTGTTCACGGTACTGTTCATCCCTGTCGACCTGACGGATGATTAGCTTAGGATTTTCTTTGTTTCTTTTGTATTTCATTTGTGTTTTTGTGTTCGTTAATGAACCAATTCATCATGTACTTCAAAAGTAAAGAACATTGATGGAAATACAAATTTGAAAATTTTCCTTTGAAATTTCTGTATTTATTGTTGTATACATTCTTTACATCGTCATGTGCAGTTTATTGATAAGATAATAACATACATATTAACTGTAAAACTTTCTAAGGTTATGTATGTTCTATATGAATGGTAATTGACGACCTTGTAGATCTGCTAACTGGTAAGACCCAGGTCGTTTAACACGAATAACCATATAAGGACCTTCCTAGTTCGGAGCGAGTTTTCCCATATGTGAGTAAGCGTTAGTGAGCCCAGCCTTGCGTAAAACCAGATCGCCAACTTGAAATTGACGAGCTCGGACTCTCTTATTATAAAATCTAACAACACAACTTTGATGTGCCATGTTTTTTATTCGAGACATCTCCCTAACCTCTTCTACAAGGTCTAGGTTCTCTCTTAAAAGCTGCTCATTACTAGGATCATTGTATCGATTTGATCTATCGGATGGCAGTCCGACCTCTACAAGGATGACGGCCTCAGCTCCATAGGCGAGGCTGAATGGGGTTTCGCCTATAGCCAAGCTGGGTGTAGTGCGACATGACCAGAGCACTTTATTGAGCTCATCAACCCAATTAGAGTGTGCGGCTAAAACACGCGTTTTGAGGCCTCACAAGACGATTTTATTGGCGGACTCGGCTTGCTCATTTGATTGTGGAGTATATACAGACGCCAAGGTGAACTCAATGCCATAATCGTTGCAGAATGACCTGAGTGCTGCGGCTCGGAATTGTGGACCATTGTCAGTGATGACCCGTTTAGGTATGTTGAACCTGCACACAGATGACTGAGTTGAGCCACAAATTACGTTTGTAGACAATGTACAAATGGCTTAAGCCACCAAAGAGTACCTGCATAATATTGAGTTAAATAGGAATTCCTCTATTTTTTTCTCTGTTGTCGTGGATAATGGTTTGGCTTCTATCCATTTGGTGAAGTAATTCACCGCAACAACTAGATATGTGCAACCTCCTTTGCCTTTAACAAAAGGGCTGAGTAGATTGACTCCCCATTGAGCAAAAGGCCAGGGTGATAAGAGTGATGATAGCATTTCTCCTGTTTCAACAGAGATATTTATGTTTAGTTTATAGACAAACGTGAGGTTTGCACGAACTTTAGAACGAGCTCAGATACTTGGCATGTGAATGTCATCAGCATTGAACTGGTAGGTCGGGCACTTTTTGACATAACTCTGTGCGTTCTCAATCATAGTAGGCCAATAATACCCATGTCTCAGGAGTTTTCGAGCCAATGTTTTACCACCTATATGTGTGCCACATACTCCTTCATGAACTTCCCTTATAGCGTATTCAACTTCATAAGGAGTAAGGCAGCGTAGTAGGGGCATTGAGGCTGCTCACTTGTAGAGCTGATTATTTATCAGGTGAAGTGTGCCACCCTATGTTTAATCAACTTTGAGGTGGATGGGTCTTTAGGTAGCTCGCCACTTCGCAAATACTCAACGAGGGGGGTAGTCCAGCTCGGCGAAGAGGGATTTGTGCTTAGCAATTGACACTCAATTGTGAAGTCTGTGTAGCTTGGTGCATCAAGTACCTCCACAATTGTTGATCTTTGAGGATTGATACCTTGCGAGGAAGCTAATTTTGATAGCTCGTCAGCTCGCTTGTTATCTGCTCTGGGTATCTTATCGATCTAGAAAGAGACAAATCCTGATTTCAATCTGTTGTCTACAGAAGCATAACGACCAAGTTGAGGATTCCTGATTTCACAGCTTTCATTCACTTGACCCACAATGAGCTGAGAATCGCTGAAAATCCTTATGCTCTAAACTTTCAACTTGAACGCTAGCTTCAAACCATAAATAAGGGCTTCATACTCTGCAACATTATTTGTTGTTTGAAACTTGAACCTTAATGCGTGCTCGGATTTAAAGCCATATGGGCCCACTAGCACTGCTCCAGCACCCGATCCTTCAATATTAGCAGCTCCATCTACATATAAAACCCAGGCTGGGTATATAGGTGCCTTTTCTTCCACATTCGTCGAGAGGCACTCCACTAGGAAGTCTACCGAAGTATGCCACAGCCTGCCCTTTAATGGTTGTGCACGGCTGAAATTTGAGGTTATACTTGCTCAGCTCGACAGTCCACCCAATAAGCCGACCAGAGAGTTCGGGTTCTGTAGTATTTTCCTCAACGGTAGATCGGTATAGATAACAATTTTGTGTAACTGAAAGTAAGCTCTCAATTTGCGAGCCGTGTAGACAAGGGCAAAAGCAGCTTTTTCTGCTAGTGGGTAGTTTTGCTCCGCGCCCTGTAAAACCTTGCTCATGTAGCAGATGGGCTTCTGATGTTTATCATGTTCTTTGAGTAAAACGGAGCTCAAGGCCTCCTCTGTAACCCACAGATATAGGTATAAACTTTCCCCCTCCACAGGCTTTAAAAGCAGGGGTGCTGACACCAAATATTGCTTGAGCTCGTCCAATGCTTGCTGACATTCGTCGGTCCACTGAAAGTTCTTGGGCTCTCTCAAGGCTTTAAAGAATGGGAGGTATCTTTTTGCTGACCTGGCTATGAACCTGTGCAATGCAGCAACACGACTGTCAGACGCTACACATCTTTTATGGTCTTGGGAGGCTCCATCTGTTGAATGGCCTGAACCTTCTCTGGATTTACCTCAATTCCCTTCTTGGATACCACGTACCTTAGGAATTTTCCTGATTCTATAGCAAACGTGCATTTTAGGGGATTCAGCTTCATTTGGGCTCGGCGCAAGTTCTGAAATGTTTCATTTAGGTCGTCTATATGATCTTCAGTTCGCTTACTGGTGACTATCATGTCATCCACATATACTTCAATGTTCCTGCCAATCTGGAGCTTAAAGACGACCTGCACTAGCTTCTAATATGTTGCGCCAGTATTTTTCAAGCCAAATGGCATCATGACATAGCAGTAGATTGCGTCACCAGCATAGAAAGTCGTCTTCTCTTGATCATCCAACAGCAACTAAACCTGGTGATAACCTGAGTTGGCATCAAGGAAACTCATTCGTTCGTGTCCAGGTGCTTGCTTTACCAACTTCTCAACATTTGGCAAGGGGTGAGAGTCTTTTGGACACGCTTCATTTAAGTTAGTGAAATCAATACATATTCTCCACTTGCCGTTTGGTTTCTTGACGAGCACAGGGTTAGACATCCACTCAAAGAATTCAACTCTCCTGATGAAGCCTGCTTGTAGTAGCTTTTGTATTTTTTCATCTATAGTAGCTTACTTCTCAAGACCAAAAAGGTGACGTTTATGAACCACCGGCCTTCTGGTGGGGTCCGTGCTGAGCTTGTGGACTGCCAACTCTGTTGGAATGCCAAGCATTTCATCCGTCGTCCACGCAAACACATCTTGATTGACCTTTAAAAACTCTAGAAGTTCAGCTCATTCTTCCGTTATGAGCTTTGTGCCAAACTTAACTATTCTTTCTAGCATGTCAGGGTTCAAAGGGATTGCTTCCACTGGTTCTATTGGCTCAGCCTTCTACTCGACACCCTCAGGTCGGTGCTCAATATCTGATATGCTCATTGTTTGCTGACTGAGTTGGGTTGGCCTGTGAATTTCAGAAGAGCCTACCGGGGCTGCAGTGAGCTCAACCTTCTTGAATGTATCTTGATAGTAGGCTCTGGCCATCTTCTGGTTCCCCTTAAGCACTCCTACCCCTTGAGGAGTTGGGAACTTCATACAGAGATGAGGTTGTGAGATGACAGCCTTCAGCTCGCATAGGGTGGCTCTTCCTAGTATGGCATTGAAAGCCGATTCCATTTTGACGACCAGAAAGCTAATTGAAGCCATTTTGAAGCGTGGTTCCGAGCCCACATAGATGGGAAGAGTAATTACTCCTTCTACTGGGATGGGTTGATTATTGAACCCATATCTTCATACTTCTGCAGCGAGCTCCAATTCAGCTGCATCTTTTGAAAGCAGCTCCAATACAGGATATCTGGTGAACTACCAGTATCAATAAAGACCTTGTTGACGTTATGATTGCCTATATGGACCGTTGCCACAAAAGGATCTGCATGAGGTATCATAACGTTGGGCTTTCCTTCTGCTCGCTTATAATCTATCGAGCTAAATGTAATGGGTGGATTCTCCCATTCCGCCTCCTTGAATGGCCACTTCAAAGGCCTGTTCTTATTAATGGTCATCACCTGACGGGCATATACCTTGCGGCCCCAAGCGCTTTGGCCTCCTGAGTGTATACCACCCGAGATCATGTTTATTGTGCCAGAGGGTGGGGGTATCCCAGCATAGCCTACCCCTTTCCTATCTTTTTGGTTCTGAGTGGTACTTCTCTGTCCTTGGCCTCGCCTATTGAACTGACGTCCCCTGTACTCTCTACCCTGCTCGAAAGGATATTGGTTATCTTGATACACATCCTGGCTGCTGCCGAGCTGATACCTCTGCCCCTGAGGTTGGTCATACCCCTGCACAAAGTGAGTTTGAGTTGGTTGCTGGGCATAAGGTTTCTAGACATATCCTTCTAATTTCCCATTGCAAGCTAAGAATTCTAGCTCGTCCTTTAAGTGTTGACAGTCTTCTGTATTGTGGCCATATGCATGATGGTAGTCACAATGTTTGCTTTTGTCTGCTCTTGGGGTATCATGCAGTGGGGGAGGTGGTCTCCTGATCTAGTGCTGGATTTGTGCCCAGATTTAGGACCTTGGCGAGGTCAAAGGAATGTAGTTGGCATACTTTGGGAAGTCGGATGGCTTTCCCCACTGCTCACTAACTTTATGCTTTTTCCTTTCTTCTCTTCGCTGTGGTTGTTCGTGGCTTTTGCTTTGTTTATCATCAGCTCGTCGCTTGGACGACTGGAAGTCTTCTGATAGTATGAAGCTGGCCGACTTGTCATTTACTTCGTTTCACGTCTTTGGTGGGTTTTCTAGTAGGTCGTCCAGAAATCGGCCAAGTTTGAGGCCATGCAACAAAGCAGATAAGCAGATGGTATCAGGGACATTATCAATGTCTAGAGTGGACTTGTTGAACCGTTGCATATAGTCCCTTAGAGACTTTCCCTCCTTCTGATAAACTTGCATCGGCTCAGTAGCGGTGCGCTTAATTTCTCTTGGACTCGCGAACTTATTTGAAAACAAAGTGGCGAGTTCAGAATAGGAGGCTATGGAATGTCTGGGTAACTTGTGGTACCATCTTCTAGCTGTTGATTTCAACGTCGCAGGAAAGACTTTGCACATCATGGCGTTAGTGGCGTTCTAGATCCTCATGATGGCTTGATAAGTATGCAGATGTTCATCTAGGTCTCTTGAGCCATCATATGTCTCCAAATGGGGAATTTTAAATCCCTCTTGATATGATTCAGCCGTGATGGACAAGTTGAGAGGGGCACTATCCAAGTCGAGAGCCTGCTGGCGCGACCTGGGACTCCTCAGCTCGTCAATAGACTTCTGCACGTCTTTGAGTTGTCTCTCAACGTCGACATTCTTCTTTAGTAACGCTTCATTATGCCTGGACGAGCTAGGCTCTAGGTTCAACTTCCCACTTCCTCTTGGTTTGGTTGGGACCACTACATTGCTTAGGGCCGGGGAGTTACGGGTTGCAACTACTGCAGCCGGTTGCTCGCCCCTATTCAGCAGGGGAATCAAGGGGTCATCGGGGATCAAGCGAGAGAGAATTTTCCCATGGCCATCTCTAGAACTCTTGTTCTTTCTTCCAGCTCGGACGTTCGAGCAGATTCTACAGGTCTCTCCACAGGTTGTGTAGTATTATGCCTGGAATGCCTTCGTCTAGCTTCAGATGAGATGTGAAACTGTTCTTCAAGTTGGGTTGCATACCCTATAGGTGTTCTTTCATCATCATCTGAAGTGTTCGACTGTTCTTGTTCTGCACCGCCAACGAAGAGGTTTCTCAGAAGCGTTTGGAAGTCATTGAGATCACTTTCCAACACCTGAGTGTTATCCTGATCGTCCACATCCCCTCTTGGGGGGTGGTTTCTTGTGAAGGTGCGCACCATTTTCAGCTTGTGCTGGTTAAGTCACAATGCTTTTTGTTCGGTTTCCCACAGACGGCGCCAAATGTTTGGGTAGCTTCGTGATCCAACACTGTTGATATTTTCAGCTGCTTCCACACCTAAAATTCCCGAGGATGTTTGCTCGGGGAAAACACTCCAACGCTCAAGTTAGCAATACTCAATATCCTAGAAAGAGATGCTCTTAAAGAGTAATTGCAGAAAGAGAAGCGTAGAAGTTAATACCTTGCATGGAGGTAGTTTGGGGTATTTATAGCTCCATATACTGACATGAGCTCAAACATGTATTCATCCAATTGGTCCATGTGTTACTGCCCACGTGGGTGTGTCTCCTCATCTTAGACCTGTGGGTGTATAATTGGGCCTGCTGCATGTGGCCCGCAGCTGGTGTTGAGCCTAATCCCAACACCTACCTTCGTGGAAAACAAGGTGATAACTTTTAGGAATTTCTAATCATGATTGGAACAATTAACATTAGGAAAATTTTTTTTTTTTTTTTTATGTTGGATACACAACATAACACAATCCTTTTCAATATTTTATCTACCCTCACTTGTATGTCATGTGACTTAAACTCATGATCTCTTATTTTTAGTGAAAAGAGATTATCACTAAATTATTTAGATCATTAACAACGTTAGGAAAATAATTAGTACATATGATTTAATATATTTTTTGACATTATCCAATTTAATTATTTAAAATATAATATAAATATAATTAATTTGTTTAGTTTTTGTATTTTATGTACATAATTACATCTTTAACTTTGTTTATCTTTAATTTCATATAAAAAATAATAATTTTTTAATAAATATATTATATAATTCGTTGAATTGAAATATGTATCAATTAGTGTCATTAATGTTATTCTTTTCGTAGTAAATTATTGATTATTATAATTAATTCATATTTAACTTTAAATAATACTTTAATATAACATATAAATGATAATTAAAAATATTTTTTTGTTAAATAAAACTTTTAGAAAAGAATTACTTATTAAAATAAAAAAGGTTTAATTATCATTTATATACCATACAGAAAAGAAACCATGATTCATGTACCCATTAGTTCAACATAACTAGACACATTTCTTATAAAATATATTTTTAGGTCAATTAAGAATAGATTACAAATAACTTGACCCCTCAGCCATTCACCCAGTTATATTCTATTCTTAGTTCAAAATAGAGGTTAACAGGAACCCTGATTCTTAATATGCTTTAGTTCCGAGCTATTCGCTTCGATGGATCGTCATCGCCTGTGTCCCTGTAATTGATGCAAAGAGATACAAGTATAAGTGGTTTCCTCTAAATTCCAGCAACGAAAAGGTGGATTATAGATCTAATTTAGAATTGTGGACAGCTTCAAACAATTCGCTACCTATTTCTTCTTCAAGGTGCCATTTTCTACAACCTCAAATGGTTAACAAAATCAAACTTTCAATCATGTGGATTGTCAAGGAATGCAAACTCAAGTACATGAGCTAATACTCTTGGGATAAAAATACACAAAAAAAAGAAAAGGACTCCCCAAATAACTTTTGAATTTACAGATAATACAATCACATAACAATACTTTGTCTTTTTTCTTCGTACTAAAATTATCACAAAATCACAGAAAATACTTTTAGAAAACAATGAAATCTTATCATTATCATACAGAGAACATTTTTTCACGTTATTTGATGACAAACATTAGTTCTTACCATGTAGATATGATCCACAAATGACATATCTGCAACGATCCCCTCCCACGTCGGCGACCTGCGCAGATAGACTCCTTTTCCAAATTTGAGAAGGGTCCCACTATTGCTTCCAAAAGATAGATCTATACGAGTGAGCGTAGCGACAGCAGGGTCTTTGAAGAAGATGACCGTGGCAATTCCAAAAGCGATAAGGGTCAGCGGCGAGCGTCTTCCCTTCAATCGACCCGATTTCATCAAATTGACACTGCTTATCGTCGTTCAATCCAGCTAACTCACCAGAGAAATTTTAAAGTGATGGCATGGGTTCAATCGGAGGGATTTCAACAAATTTACAAGGGACAGTCTGGTTCAATCGGTCTGAGTTTCGCAATTTATATAGATTCTGATGCACCATGAAACTGCGGGATTGGGTTCAAGCAACCGCCGGAAG